CACAACCACTCTTTCTCTCACTCACATACTCTCGTACACTCAAAGTCTCTTGTTCACCATAAATTACCTTTTAAAAGAGCAACAAGGAAAACCCAGCCAAGTACAAACTCCATGGTGAGTTGTCTGTGTTCTGTGCTGATCACAGAATGGGAACACCTGGGGATCCCGGGACTGGGACTCCTCTCCCAGCTGCAAGGTTTGGGGCTCAGCTGGTTTAATCAGGAGATGGAGGGCCCTATTTGCATGTCCTCTGAATATATATTCAACTTGGGATCTATGCTGACAGAGAGGGCAGTGTGTAGAGCAGGTGTGATTGTTGTTGATGTGGTGCTATTGATCACTTTTGAAAAAATATCATTTACTATTTGATAACTTTCCAATGTATATTCTTGGCCTCCATGTCCTACTTTGTTTTTACATGTAAACATCAATCTTGGGGTTTAGGTGTCATGTTCCCCCTTAAGTGATGTGAACCTACACCTAGAATTGTGGAAGGTTTGTGAGTTGTCCAAGAGCATTCATGGGGTGAGAGTGAGCCCCAGGATATAAGTCGGTGCTCCTTCCACAGTACTGTGCTGCATCCCTGAAACCCCCCTTGGGACAGAGTGGGCAGGTTCATTAGGAAGGTGGAACCCCTCCTGTAGTGGGGACAGAATGCTGGTTCTACAGTTTACCTGAAATGCAGAGAGAATCAGGATTGTGAAGGTGTAATTTCAAGTCTCTCAAATTTTACTCTATCTGTGTTCCTCCAGAATCATCTCTGTGATTACCTATAATAGCTTCGATGTGTGTACTTGTCACACGATGAACTACGCACATGCAGAGTGTGGGATATGATAAACACTGGTGTCAAAATCAATATTATCGAGAGTGAGCACATCAGTTCTCCCTAAAATGTCCTGTACTTATCTTGGAATTCCTCCTCCCTCTTCCCTTCTTCACCCTGTCCCCACATAACTATTGATCTTTCTCATGTCACCTTAGACTAGCTTTAATTCAGTAGAATTCATAAATAGATAATTGTATCATATGTACTTTCTTTGTAGGGCTTCTTTGGCTCAGCATGAATCCTTGTGCATAGAACCATGTTGCTGTGTGTATCAGGAATCATTGGTTTTAATGACTGTCAGCCCTGAAGGTACAGTCTTGGAAGCACCAGCCAGAGGAGGATCTTAAGCAGCTGAAAGAATCCGCTTGCTTCAAGGCTCATCCACACACCCTCTCATCCCAGGAGCTCTTGGTTGCCAGAAAGAGATACAATCCCTTGTTGTTTAGTAACATTTTCTGGTGGCTGTGGAGAAGAGAACCAAGAGGCAGAGTAGGTTTACAGGAGAATGTTGAGGTAGAAGCTCTGAAAGTCCAGTCGATGGAAGAGGCCAGGAACTGGGATGAAGAGCAGTGAGGGAGGAACTGGCCAGGCTGCAGAAGAAACCTCTGCACAAGAAAATCCAGCACTCAGGTACCAGGGTGTGGAAGTTACATCAAGTGTTCAGCCTCTGACTGTGCGCGTATGTCCTATGTTCTCCACTAGATTCCACTGCTAACCTCAGGTGTGAGCTGCAGGCACCACCTGGGAAAAAGCTGCTCTTTGATTCAAACCAGGAACCTTCTTTCTTTGTCACCAGTGCATGGAGAGGACCCATTTCTGCAGCCACACCTCCCCACACTGCACAGAGCATACCTGACTCGTGTGGAATCTCCTTTTGTTGAGAACTGCTTTTCTACAATACTGAGGCTCATAAGGAGGTTCCACACATGTGTGTCTCCTACTGACTCCAAGTACTTAATTACTTTGAGCCATCGTGGACCTTGACTGTGGGTTTTAACTCTCACTAGAATGTAAAGTCTCTGTATCAGGACAGTGCAAATCTATTGCCCCTCTGTCCCCCTCCCAGTTTTCTATTTTAATTAGAAAATAAGGGCCATCAACCACTAGTTATTATGTACATCATGTCTTTCCTGAGGAATAATTTTGTGTATCAGATTCTGTCCTCTTCTTTGCACAAATTGAACTTAAAGCAAAGGAGACAGGCACTCCAATGGGGATACATCGGGAACTCTACGACCAGGAAGAAGACAGTGTGGACCCACAAAGAGCCTCCCAGCAGCCATGTCATGCTTTGGGGCAGAGCTGTTGTGAAGACACATTCCTCCTTGTGAGTGCTGACGATAACAGGGAACACCGTGCAATACACACATGTGTTAGTCCTCCCGGAAACTGGAGTGGATGCCAGATATTTGATTCCCCTCCCTGATTATGTCTCATGATGTTTTTAACTCTGTTAGCCCCTTTGTAGGTCACTTCTTATTGGGGAAAGTGGGTAGTTTGAGAGGAGGAGTGTCCAGGAACTCTGGAAAGCACAAGTTGTGTCCTTAGAGGAACATGTGCTACAAGTGTTTCCTGTCCATCCCTGTTTTGTTAGCTTCCTCCCAGGATCCACTCCCGAAGGCAACCATGTGTTCTTGGCCTTCACACAGGCCCATGCCTTTTTCAGTAAATGTGCTTTTTTTCTCATCTGCTAAACATCCTCATAAGACTTGGTTCAGCTCAAGGAAAATCTTTCTCAGAAGCGCCTCCTTGACTGCCTGGCTTCCTCAGATAAGGATGCTCACTCACTTCTTTGTGGCTCCCAAATGGTCCTGGTGTGCATCTCCCTCAGAACAGGTCCACCACCGAGGCCCTTGCACTTGTTCACCAGCTAGTAGAGGCAAAGACGACTCCAATTTTCTTAGTCCTTGAATACAGCAGTTATCTTCATCAATTTTGCCCTGTGTATCACTGGTACAGAATTCATTCAGTCCGTGTTGAGTAGTGTTTTTCCTGTAGACTTGACATGACTGATGAACTCTACTCTTACTCATCACCTCCTCCTGTACATGGGGATATAACAACATCCATATTCTGCCCAGGTCCGTTCTAGGCACAAGTGTGGGGATGACACAAGGGAAAGAGCATGCCTCCTGAAGCTACCGACAATGTATTATAGCAGCAGAGAGCAAAACCTGAACTTTTAGAAGTCCACTACTGTGGGGATGTGCCTGGAATAAAGGTGCTGAAGTGGCAAAGTGGGGCAGAAATACAGGGTCTGTGGCTCCCCGAGTCTTAAGAAGAATGTGCGGCACCAATGTGATGCACAGTTACTAGGCATAGGAGCCTGAAACCTGGTCAAACAGTGAGTCTAAGTGCAGGCTTTCTGCTCTGCTTTGCCATAAACGCTGAACCACTGTGTGGTCATGTGACCTCATCCCTGAGACCTGCAGGCAAAAGACAAAAAGGCTATGAGTCCATCCAATGGGGAATAGCATGGGTCCACCCTGTGGGAGTCCCTAATTTTGAAGTTTTGAAACTCAGTCATGTGCCTGAGATAGAGAAGCTCCAACACAGGCAGGGTGAGCACAAGGTTCTGATGGAAACTGGGCACAGAAAAGGGTTGATTGCTCTTCTGTGAGGTCTCACTGAAGAGTGCGGGGTGTGAACTTCCAACACCAGTTTAGAGAGCAGATGCCGTATTTAACCGACCCAACAGTGCAAAACAGCTCTACCTATTGGAGGCCAGAGCCGCTTACACCAAGCCCTGCACCCTGCTCCCAAGATGTGCATTTTCACTAGGCCAAACCCCTGAGAATAATCACAACAGGCACCTGCCTGAGATCAGCAGAATCTATTCCATCTCACCAAGTCTAATGATCATTGGGTGCTGTTAGTTTCAGCTCTAGGGAAAGTAGGATCTATCTTTCTTTCTACTTGTATTCTTACATTTTTTTATTTTTATTTTTTGATTTATTTTCCAATTCTTCTTTCTTGATTTTTATTATTTTTTCTTATATTTTCTTTTTCA